CACCGCCTGTATTGTATGATTTAAATATTGGCAGCTCTGGAGGCCAGTAGTAGGCTTTCTGTGACTGAAGTCACAGCAGCGCAATCTTCAGAGCACCCCCACCGCCAGCCCTGGTATAACTGTCCTGTGGCTGTGTGGGCAGAGACAGATGGTTGAAACTCTCAGCCCTGGGATGATGCAGAGAGCCTACCACTGGCCTCCAGAGCTGCCACCATTGAAAGCATACAATATAGGCATGAATGGGGAGCAGGGTGGGAGGGGGCGAAGCAGAGACGGTGGATCATTAAACAGGCAGGGGTAAGTTGCCAAGCGGTGAGTGGCCTGGCTGCAGGGGCCCTAAGGTGCGCGGGGGCATGGGGCAGCTCCACTCCCCCATCTACCTCGCTTCACCTCGTGGCAGGGGCACTAGAGCACTGTACAGCCTCCTGTCCCATTATGGCAGCAAACAACCAGATGGTGTGATGAAGTGGGCAGGCTCTTAACTAAGGTTTATTTTTTGGGTAGGGCTTATACTAGGCGCATGCTAAAAATCATGCCAGGGCTTATTTTCTGGATGCATCTTATTTTTGGAGAAACATAGTAATAGCTTTGCTCTTGATTGCTGTTTTCTTCTAAAAGTGACATGTTTCCATCGGTCTTTCTCTTTAGGTTCATGTATAAGGTCAATTTTTTGGAAGCTGCTTGTTCCCAATTGTGTTCTATTTGGATGTATCAATTGTCTTCTTTTTGTTCATATATGAGGCCTTCTTTTAAGAAATTGTTTGCTCCCTATTGTGTTTTATTTTGGTGCAGTCTTCTTGTTTAGGTTAGAGAATCTCACTTTGTTCATTGAGTTTCAGAGTGGCTAGAGTTGCTTCTAGACCCTTTACTTTTTCTTCTAGTAATTCATATGATTTACAGGTCTTCTGTGGGCATAAGCTCAAAGATATGACATATTTTGCAAGTCAAAATGTCAGCCTCTATGTCCATAATTTTTTTGTCTGTTAAAAAATTAAAAATTTCTAAAAAAATTATTTTTCCTGTTGTGAAGTGTTACTTTACAATAGTTTACAAAAGTACTTGACCATTTGTTCTCTGTCTTCAAAAATTCATTACTGTCTTCCCTGTTTTAAGTGTCTATCTTAAAATTATATCTTTTAAATTGGATTTCTCAATTCTCCAACAATCAATTAGATAAATGTACAAATATCACACATGAAATATTATTGCTGCTATGGATATCTGGCATGTCTTAAAATGATTTGAATTTATTCTAGGCTTTTAAGAATAAACGTTTCATTGACTGTACTTTGTTCCTCGTTGCTTTTCCCTTCTGAAACTCCCAGCCCTCATCAAAGCCATCAGTGCCCACAAATCTCTCCTCTATAATGATCCCTAAATTCTTAATATTCTTGTTCACTTCCTAACCAACTCCCCACCTTGTTCTGGCCCCTTTACGCTTTAAATGGGGAAGGGTTTTACTGCCCAATAAAATTTATGTTTATCTTAATAAATTAGCTATAATTTAACTATATTTCTTTAAGTCCTGATGCAAATTAAAGTTTTATATATTATACTACCATGTTTCCCTGAAAAATAAGACAGTCTTATTTTTTTTTTTTTTTTTTAGCATCCAAAAAAGGTACCAGGTCTTATTTTTGGGGTGTAATTTCCATGGTCTTACCTCACTTTGGCAGCACTGACAGCTCCACCCAGCTGGTCCACTTCTGCGGCTGAAAAAGATGCCTCTGCAATTGAGAATGAAGCTCCGGATTGATGCACATAGAGCCCCCCTGGCCTGCATTTTGGATTGAATCTGTAGCTCAGTTCTTGGCTGCAGAGACTTTCCAGAAGGTCTCTGATGGCGAAATGCAGGCCAGGGGAATCTGAAGCTCCATTCTCAGCTGCAGAGCCCTTTCCTGAAAGCCTCTGATGGAGAAATGCAGGCTGGGGGCGCCGCAGAAGAAGTGGGCCGGCAAGGCAGGTGTCGATTCATGGGAGGCCTGGCTGCCACGGTAAGTGGGTGCAGTGTGCATGGAGCAGTTCCACACACCCCCGCCCGGGCTTAATTTTTAGGTGTGTACATCACCCCAAAACTAGGGGTTATTTTGGGGGTAGGGCTTATATTAGGCCCATCCCCAAAGGTCAAGCTAGGGCTTATTTTCAGGGCATGTCTTACTTTCGGGAAAACATGGTACTTCCTAACTGGTCAATATGGTTTCCTTTATTATATTTACCTTTTGATCATCCTTTTGGAACTGTGTCTATTTTAATGTTCAAATTCTTCATTTTGTCAACATCATGGGAATCTTCAAGTCTGCCAGAATTTGATTCAAGGCCTGAATAATAGAAATTATCTCTGTTCTTTGTAGTTGTAAAAGTTACAATGGACATCTCCATTCATAGCAATTTCCCATTTCTATCAACAGTTCTGTTATAGACTTGAATGCAATTACATTTTGTAGAATAGTTGATGAATGTCCCCACTTCATTTTCTTCAGCCTGTGAGCTTCCTAAGAATTTTATCTCTGGTACATTAATTTAGAAACTTAATTACAATAACTCTTGATTTTATTTTAACTTTGCAAGCCTGTAATTTTGAATTCTTTGGCTATGTATGCCCTTTTCAGACAAATGTAGATCTAGGAAGAGATTATTACCCTTTGTTTCTACATAATTTATCATGGTATTGTTCTGTTTTTTTCATCTGCTATGTTATTTAGGATCTGCCAGAAGCATTTTAAGATCCATAATGTCTTTCTCAATTATTTTTTATGCTAGAGGCTGTTTTGTACTTGAAACATTGGCCTGACTACAGGTAGTTCTCAATTTACAACCACAATTGAGCCCAAAATATCTGTTGCTAAGTGAGACAGTTGTTAAATGCTCCATTTTATGACCTTTCTTGTCACAGTTGTTAAGTTAATCACTGCAGTTGTTACGTTAGTAACACAGTTGTTAAGTGAATCTGGCTTCCCCATTGACTTTGCTTGTCAGAAGGTCACAAAAGGTGATCACATGACCCTGGGACACTGCAACTGTCATAAATATGAGTTAGGTGCCAAACATCTGAATTTTGATCACCTGACTATGGGGATGCTGTAATGGTCATAAGTGTGAAAAATGGTCATAAGTCACTTTTTCAGTACTACTGTAATTTTGAATGGTCACTAAATGAACTAATTGAAATGTAGGTCGAGGACTACCTGTACATATCTGAGCAATGTCTTATAACTTTTTTGATAAAACTTTGGTAAAACTTTGAACTATTTATTGATTCTCTTCAGACATTACATACCTGCTACATCTTCTTTACTGAAATAAAGGATTTCTCCCACTCCAGTTTCAGATCCTGAATAAATTAATATAACAAATGTTTGATGTTGTTTAAGATCTCTCTGGGGTGATAGGATATCTTGGAGGCTGTAGGCAACAGTTTGTCCTCATCTTCCTCTTCTCAGCTGGAGGACTTTTATTTGTTTCTGTCTCTTTCATGCAAGTTCTGACACTTTTTTGCTTCTTGTGAAGCATCTCTCCTGGACACTTTGTATTTCTCAGTTACTTTAGAATAGAATTCAGTACAGATAAGCAGTTGATAATAGCTAAAAAGAGCAGGTTAAGTTACAAGCAGAGCGTTCAGCATCAGCATCTTCCGTAGAGACTTCTGCATCTGTTTCTTACAACTGGGCAGCTTGAAGCAAATAAAAAAAATCTCTGATTCAGTCCAGGTCAAAGAGGAAGATTTTTGGAAGCACAGTCTAGGCCTCCAAGCAATCCTATTTTGTAAAATTGGCAACAAGATTTCTTTTTAAGGATACAGCTAAGTAATGTACTTATATATGTATGCATGCATTTATTTATTACATATGTTTGCTACCCATCTCTCTTCCACTTGACTCCAGGTGGCTTCCAACTAGAACTTGGAAAACTGTGAGTTCTAGTCCTGTATTAGCCATGAAAGCCAGCTGGATGATTTTGGGCCAGTCACGCTCTCTCAGCCCAACTCACGTCACAGGATGGTTATTGTAAGGAATATAGGAGGAGGAAAGTGTTCTGGATATGTCTGCCACCTTGAATTATTTGTAAAAATAATAAAGATGGGATACAAATGATGGATGGCTGGCTGGCTGGCTGGCTGGATGGATGAATAGCATATATGCAGTTGCTTGGTGAGATGGAGCGGTGGTGAAAATCCAGGTTCAGATTTTCTGAGGAATCATTTCATCCTGATAAGATTAGCCTATCCATCCATGTTGTCACAAGAATAATACACGGACCCTGCAGTTAAGGAATTCTGGCTGGCAAGGTCCCAGAGAAAGGGCCATTTCTCTGGAATACTATTCCCCCCAGGTCAGATCAGTACTTACCTTTTCAACTTTCCGAAAGGGCCTGAAAACTTGCCACTGCCAACTGACCTAGGACCCCAATAAATCTCAGTTGCTCCATTCCTCTCCATCTTGGTCAATTTAATTTTAACTGTATTTTAAATTTATGGTCTCTATTTTTAAAAAAATTATATATGGTATTTTTATTGAATGTTTGTACACTGCTTACAGTTGGCTTTGATGAGATAGATGGCATATAAATTTGACAATTTTTTAAAAAATCAAAATCTGCAGGATGGTAAATATGGCATCTTGACTAAAATCCCATCCTTTTATATCTGCTGTGTTGTCAAACACACATATAAAAGAGGTAGAGTGTTGATTATGATGCTGCCATTTTGTAGAGTTTGACACTCCCAGCAGATACCCATGTACGTGAAGTTGTGTTTCTTGTAAACTTCAATCTTACAGAAATTCATCAAATGCATTTATTCACAAGAATAAATATGCAATATATTCTAGAATTAAAAACACAATTGTAAAATATATGGCATATTTATTCTGGTGAATAGCCTTCATATGAGGAGAATTGCGTAATTTAAGGGCCTCTGAACTACGGCAAAGTTTCTCTCTCCCAGTGAAGTGTAAACTGTTCTGTAATTTTTCAGGCTGTTGCATCTCTTCTATTCTCCACAGTTGGAGGTATGATGCTGTCCATTCTAGATGAGATGGAGAATATCTTTATTTGGCAACATCTACAAGTTTATGAGAGCCAAGCCAAAGGAGTATGGCTGGGGATGTCCTTTAATCCCAAAGGTAAATCAAGCAGAATTGAGAGACTGCTTTATTGTTTAGCACTTAGACAACTTTGATAACTTTGAAATTGATTTGTAGCAATGTGCTTTGCTGGAGAGTCATTCTCTGAAAGTTTACTTTGACTGTGTACTTATTAGCTTTATATCCCACTGTTTCTCCAAAGGTGGTTTACATGGGATCTTTCTTTACTTTTTCTCCCACAAAAATAAACCCGTGAACTTGGCTAGGTTGACAAAGAGTGATTGGGTGTGGGTGGTGCATCCCCAGTCCTGGTCAAATGTTTTAATGATTATGCTACTGCTTTTTGCTACTTTCCAACATTTGATGGTCTGAGGAGATTCTCATATATCACTCTAGAATGGCTCTTTTATTAATCACACAAAGCATGTTTCTCCCTTCTGTACAGGGGGTACACTTGTTTGGCATGACAGCACAGCTGTAAACTATTCTAACTGGGGACAACATGACACAGGACCAAGCATGATCAGCCCAAATAGCTGCTATTGGATCCAGAGCAGCAATGGGGTATGGCGTTTGGGCTCTTGTTCAAATGTAACAATGGGAGTCATCTGTAAGACAACTCGAGGTAAGGAAATGAATTAAATTTGTCGAGATAAAATCAGGGCAGGCTTTTAATGGCCCTAAAGTGAACTGCAGCATTAGAGAATGCAAACAGGAGCTGGAAGTTCTTACCTATCCATCTATTTTAGGACAAGAGCAAATTATAACAGATACCATTTTATGGTTGGAACGATCTGTTTTTATAGGGGGAAAGCAAATATTTTCATGAAGATGTGCAGATGAATTTGAGGAGTCAGGGAGACTTTGGGCCAGTGGGCAAAAAAGTGGCTGATTGGTTTAGACAAGATTTGGGTTGTATAGTTCTTTACTTTCCTGTAAATTGTGGTTGGTTTGTGGTAGCCTTACGTTAGAATTGGGTCTTTGATTGGACCAACTAAAATTGAAAGAATTTGCAATATTCTGCAGGTTTATGGAATTCTTTAAGAGGTGAAATGAAAAAGAGTTAAAAGAGAAACCCTTATTAGATAAAGAGGAGACAGTGAGTGGATTGCACATAATCTTTTCCATTCTGCCTGATAAAACATTGTAGGAATCTAGAAAGAATTGCATATGTTCACATTTTTCTAAGTTGGATTAATTAAAGTATTATTTTAATTTGTTTAATATTATGATGGAGGACAAAAATTAAGGGCTCAACTACATGTAAAAATGATCTACCTCCTTGTGAGTTTGTGACTAAATTGGAGATACGTAGTTTGAAATCAAGAAATATTTGATCACAACTCAGGAGATGCTGCAGCAGAATATGAGTCATTATGGAATAGCTTGAACAGCATTGGAGAGGTAGGTCAAATGATATTGGGACAGGAAGCTGACATTCTTATTTCTTTGTATTTTCCATGGCAGTGAAAGGAAGCTCCATCTCCAAATCAGGTATGCCTTGCCCCTTTGCCTAACCCAACAATACCACTGTTGAAATTAATAGGGTGAAAGTTGATCTAATTAGACTTTGCATATGAGTGCTCAAACTGAATAAAAAACAGAAGGTAAACCAAACTAATAAAAAATAAATATATTCTGTACTGTGGGTATGGCAAGTATTTGAAGAAGATTGTTCAATTTAATAATTCCCCCTACTTAAATTATATTAGGTAAGTGTAACAAGGGCAGATAGCATGCCAGAAATAGACTTTCTTTAATTCTTCATCCTGCCTCCTGCCCTGTTCTTTTACCACCAACACCAACCTGCCTTAGATGTGAAAAAAGAATTGACTTGAGAAGTATAACCAGGATTAGGTCATTTTGAATAGGAGTGGAGAGTCCATTGACTTTACCAAAGACAATACTTTGCTATCTCTCCACATTTGGGGGGAGGGAGTAAGAGACATGTGGTTTATAATTTTGCATGGATGTTACCATGGGGTTTGTAGTCCATGATGCCTTGTATGGAAAAAGTTTGTAGAGCATCATTTACTATTGAAGAGAAAGTCCTTTAGATTTTATCTGTTATTATCTGAAAGAAAGTGGTAGAAATAATTGAACAAGTTGAATTTAGCACATCTATATATAATTGCAGATTATAACTGCTATTTTGAATAGTTTAACGAAGTCTATGAGTAAGCAAAGTATTTAGATGAAATATACACAGTTTCTAAATGGATTGGAATCTCCCAACTTGACTGATACATCTCTTAGTGTTCATCAAGTTGTTATTGGTCAGTTTTACACACAAAATTATTTTGCTCATTCTTCTTTGAATACTGTTTAGTTACAAAATGAATCTTTCCTCCTCTTTCTCTTTTTACTGCAGCTTTCCTGGAAAACACAAAAACCATTGTTGTAGTCATCCTCTCCTCTCTAACACTATGTGTACTGGTAGCTGTTGCTTTCTATCTGTATAAGCGCAGGTGGATTTCAGAACGAGGGACATTTGAGAGTGCTCGCTATAGCCGCACCAATGCAAGTCCTAGTGAATCTGCTGAGAAGAACATCCTGGTATCTGATATGGAGATGAATGAACAACAAGACTAATGATGAATCTGTCAAGTGTGGGAGTGGGGGGGTGGGGGTGGGGAACAGGGATGAGAGGGTCACAAGTACCTGTCATGAACAGTCTCAAAAACAAGCCTCTCAGGAGAGCAGAACACAACTGCTGAGTTACAGCAGAAGAGTTGAAAGGCAGGGCAGCGACCCACTAAAGAGATGTGGAGAAATACAAAATGGAACTTTGTAAGAAATTCCATCTTTTACCTTTGTCCTACTCAGAGAAGAGAAAAATGATGGTTGATCTCTTGGAAGGAAAATCTCATTTTGGAGCCTATAATCTCTAGGTGGCTGTACAGCTTCTTCACATCTCTTTAGAGACTTAGTATATAAACATTTTTTTTTCTCTCTGATAATAATAGCAAAACAAGTATTTTGCTGTATCTTTTCATCTTGCTCTTCCTTTCCTGTTTTGTTTCTTTCTGTGATATGTCTTCCATTACTTCTCAGAGCCATGTCAAAGGCCCTTGAATTCTTTTGGTTGAGACCAGATCTTCTATTCCATTGCTGCCCAGCGACTTTTTCTTTTCTAAGCCTTGATACTACCATGAAACCTATTGCCATAGAAAGCCTTTCCCCAAAATCATTGAAAGCAGCATCATTGAACTTTCATATTTACGAGTGCCAGCTTCATAATAGAAATATTTATAGCGGTGCTTAAAAGCTGGTGAATTTCTTTGAAGGTTCAATATTTCTGCATAATGTCTTGACTCATTTGTTTAATTGGTTTCTTTATCTAGTTTAAGGACATGTGGAGAACAGATCATGGTTTAGACTATATTTATGTATAAATATTGAAAGGGTTCACAAACTTTTAAGCACCAGTATAGATAGATTTATTTTATTAAATTTATGGGTGGCAAATAAATTTAATAAATGAATGCTTTGGGGTAACAAAGTAAGGGTGTTGAAATGTTTTGGCAGTTAGATACTTCATACAATACTGCATAAAAATGGCCAGAGTGTTGTGTAATTACTATTCATTGATTATAAAACACATGTGTTAAGAAAATGCAGTAGGTGTGGCATTCGGATCTTTATATCTGAGAGAATAATAATCAGAATGAGAAGGTTGTACTGAAGGATTACATTTCCCCAGATGAAATAATGTTTGAGCACTTAAAATGAATAAAGGCAGCCAAAGCAGTAATTGTCCTATGTAATAACACAAAGAGGAAACAATAATGCACTTATTATGTAAACCTGATATTGCACAAAGATATCTAAATTTTGGAACCCAGTGTGCTCAGTATCTGAGTTTCATCACAATCACAAAATGAGCAGCACGATACAAGCTCCACTGCTTTTGTGAGAGAGACATCGTATGTGTGTAGAAGCAGTTTGTATTATGACATTTGGATGCCCTTCTCAATATTTTATTTCTCCCCCTAGTTTGGGCAGTCATGTTTCAGCAACAGAAAGCTGGCCTGTGAATTGATGTTCCATTCCCCATGGGTTTAAAATCATTTGAAAAAAGCAAATCCTTTATTTTTATTTAAAAATAGCATATAGGCTGCTGGGCAACTTAAGGCTTGGATGCCAATGCTAAGAACCAATGAAAAAATACTGTACCTGCTTAGAATAGTGGCTTTTTATTATAATAATTATTTACAGAAATAAAGAATAAAAGGAGCCTCATTTAAAACAGGCACCCTATAAGAGCCTTTCTATTTTACATTTTTGTTTCTAATTAAATATTTCTGAGTGGTGACTGTTTCAATGAAGTGGGGATAAATATTTTTACAACTTAGATACTTAAGGAATTTTATTATATATGAAAACAGATTTTTCACTTAAGCTGGATATTAAGTGTTTGTAAAAAAAAAAAAAGGTATACCTATGACATTTAGATACCTGAATACATTCCAGATCAACAAACATTAAGGAAAGTTTCAAAGCAAATCTAACTTTCCCGTTTTCTTTTCCTTGATAACTGCCTATTCTGTGAGCAACGTTTTGATTTAAAGGAGTGTATATCTGTATATGTTTATATGGCTTTCTTGCTCAATATTTTTCTCCTCAGGGGATAATTTAAATCAAGATAGAGCATTTAGATGTTTCAAACTCTGTCGTAGGATGGGCAAGTTGCCTTTGAGCATGTGCAATGTTTTTTTCATCTCATTGATGGGATACACTGTTGAGATATACAAGCAGCCCTCCAGCATCTTAATAAAGTTAGGGCAGAGGTCAAGATTTGTAGCATTGGGCACAAAAGATTTACCATTTTACTGATGAAGTAGAATCACTTTGCAGTAATATTTAGGACAGGATTTATGTGCAAATATCTTGTGGAAACTGACACCATTGTTCACTGAAATGACTATTTTTTTAAAAAAAGAAGCATAGGTTCCTTCCCCATGAACTGCTGGCATGCTTTCAATTTTGTTTGATAGGAGAATTGTCTTGAAAACATCTCTTGTGCAAGGCAAGCCAGCTAACATGTGTTCAAAGAGGAAGTGCAATAGCAGAGCTGAAAGGATGGAAAGCTTTTCAAGATCAGCCTCTTCATTCTCCCAGCTATTCAAGCGGCTGCTATTCCCTCAGTTTCTTTCTCCATAATGACTATACTGTATATTCTTGCTTATTATTTGCTTTCAGAGTAAATCAAGTGTAACTAGAAATGATTAATTCCATAAAGGAGGGGAGAAGTATACTGCCATTAATGGAGGCATTTCAATATACTGGAAAAATGTTTCAGTTTAAATATTTTCTATTTGTTTTTAATAATGTGAAAAGGTGCTAAAAACGAAACTGGCATATTTTAAAATAGATTGCTATAGCTTTTTTAAAAAAATAAGTATTTTGAATAAAGCTTACTTTCCCATCATTTTCAGCAATGTTTTTTTCCATATTTTCAATAGTCACAAAGAGTCAAAACAGTTCTTAGCTCTTTGCGATTTATTTTATTCTCTCAGAATGTATTACAATGCCGATATTTACTTTGATTAATATTGGGAAGATTCTATGTTATGAGATCTAAATAAGCATTGTTAAATTTTTCTCTGCAATGGAACTCATGTTGGAACTCAAAATCATAAGATAGATAATCATTTGTGCTAGGTAATGTATGAAGCAGAAGAACTTTAAAAAATCAGTACTATTTAATTCTGGCCTTAGCCAAACTTTGCAATTTATCCCAGTTTAATTGCAAACATCTATAATAGTATGCAACATTGCTCCTTTCGAATTATACAGGTAGCTAATTCAAGTCAAAATATAATATATAGAGAGTTGATATAAAGGGAAACTTACTAGAACTAGAGAACTAAAAATACAATCTCTAAAATTGATTCACAACTTACTCCTTTAGGAGAATAGTCAGAATATTTAACACTAGGGTATCAACTCTAGAGCAAGATGAAAATCAGAATGCCAATGAAGCTTTAGACGGTATCTATGAGATTATGCTTACTTAATCTTAAATATGTTTATTTAAAGCATTCATTTTCAGGGATGCAGTTGCAAAGGTTTTAATACTTACTATCATATATAAACAAAAAAGATCAGTTAAAAAAAGAAATTGATATTCAGCATAGCTTTAAAAGGTTGCATCCTGTCCTATAATACACTATGCTTGATCACTGAATGCATTCACTGCTTATGAAGTGTAAACAAAGAAATGAAATTTCTCTGCAAAGGATTCATGCATCTGTAACCAATATGGTATGTTTGAACTACAAGGGTACTTTAAGTACCTTATCGGTGTTCTCGGATTCCCTCCTGTGGGCATAGAGACTCTTCAAAAATATTTTCTGTATTTATAAATTATGTTCCACGATTTGTATTTTATGGCAATGTAATTTTCAAAAGCTGTCTCTAGGTTTACAGGCATAAGTTCTTCAAATATAGCTTATTATGGCAGCATGGAAATTAGTGGCGATGTTGTAAAGGCTCCAAATGTGATAAATTTTATGGACTACAGTTGTTGGTATTGTTGTAACATTAAACCACCATGAACTTACAGCATGTGCAGTACTGTGCATGAAACAGTCCTCGCCAAGGGAAAAAACTATTAAATGTATAGCAAAATAAAATAGGTGAGATTTAAAGAAGTTTAGAGAGGTGAGGTTTAAAGAAAACTCTGGGTTTATCTCAAGGTAAAGAGAGTTTATATCAAAAACTCTAAGTACTAAACTTATGAAGGAAATATCTACTGGATTTTTACCCTGGTCCTAAAATAGTATAACAATGATATTATAACTAAGCAAACCATCTATTCTGCAAAAAGGGTAAGGTGGTGTCTGGAAAGAGAACAAAAGATTATGTATTTTATTAGATTCTTGTGCCATGTAAATCATAGGCAAGATGTTCATACAACAGTACATCAGTTCATTTACATCTGTGTATCACAGATTGTTTGATAAGATGGGGCATACAACTTTATTTTAATATACAAATTATTTTGGATCTTCAAGAAGCCTCTGATCCATACCAAAATTATGCAAACTGGCTTCTAAAGAAAGTATAGAAAAACAGGGACCTAGCCATCTAGAAGATTGCTAAACTTCAATTAAAAAGTACCCACAAACAAAACTGTAGCCGTTGTTGATTGAGAAGTAGTTGCTGGCTAGTCAGTAGGAGATATTTATACTTTACAAATTGCTGTTAATAATCCAAGATATTGAAAAAAAAAGTTAGTAATACAACTTAAGACAAGAACCAAACCACACAAACAACCCCAGACCCTTAGAAGGCTTTAAATTTAAAAAGGTGACACTGAATATGAATGGTGCACATATTCATTTTGGCCTGGTGTTATCAACAGGTGAAAGTGGAAGGGTGTAGAGGAGAGTTCTGTCAGATTTCTAAAAGGAATTTACTTCTTCAGATCCTGCTTGACAGTTCTTAGCCACTGTTGGCAGAATTGGTTGGATCTGCAGTAAATAAATAATAAATAAACAAATAAATAACATACATGACATACATACATATATACATTTATTATTTAGACTCTTTTGCCTCTTAAAACAGCAATCTTTCTAAATTAGTGATAAAATTGTATTTATGCATTCATCATAAACGTTTATCACTTCATGATTAGTAGTTAAACTAAAATAACCTGGAATCCCAAAATAACACCTGGAATAATATACTGTACTTGTGACATGGCATAAATTGTATACATATGAATGTCACACGTTCAAATTAGTTTGACAAAGTCAAGAGAATATTCCAAGAATATATTGGGTGTTTTTCTGAAATGTCACATAATAAAGGATGCTTGTCTCAGCATATACATACCATGTTTTCCCCAAAATAAGGCCTACATCGAAAATAAGCCCTAGCTTGATTTTTGGGAATGGGCTTAATATATAAGCCCGACCTCAAAAATAAGTCATAGTTTTGGAGTGAGGCACATATCTAAAAATCAAGCTATGGTGGGGCTGGGGGGTGGAGCTGCCCCATGCGCCCTGCACCCACTTACCTGGCAGCTAGGCCTCTCCTCGCTTCTTCTGTGACATTTTCTACATTCTGGCCTGCATTTGGCAATCAGAGGCCTTTCCGGAAGGCCTCTGCAGCCAAGAACCAAGCTATGGATTCAATCCATAGCTTGGTTCTGCAAGGCTGCTGTAGCTGAGAACCAAGCTATGGGTTGAATCCATAGCTCAATACTAGTCTGCAGAGGCCTTCTGGAAAGGCCTTTGACTGCAAAATGCAGCTGCAAAATGAAGGTGCTCCTTCAGCTGTAGTAGAAGTGGAGCAGCTGGGCGGGACTGTTGGTGCTGAAGGTGAGTACAAAAGACACCCCCCCCAAAAAATAAGACCTGGTGCCTCTTTTAGAGGCAAAATATAATAAGACCCAGTCTTATTTTTGGGGAAATACAGTAGTACATTTCTCCAGATAAACATCTTATTCAATTTATTACCTTCAAGGAGATTTATATCAGATGTTGACCATACAAAAACTAATTAACTATAGTGTCCCTTTGCTATAAAATAGATATTGAAACACTGCAAATAACGCAATACATTTTAGTGATATATGCATTTATACCTGAAAACTCTTATTTTAAATATGTGCCCCCTTCTTACTATAGATAATGATCATTACAGATATTAAGGATCCAGTATGGATCATCACCAGAACCAGAGGTTTAATCTTGTGAGCTTTTGGAGTCATGCTGGAGCCTATCCTCAAGGAACTTCTCTCTACCAGAACGTGCGCGTTGGGCTATTCTATGTGTCGTATTTATTTGATGCCTGGTTATGTGTGGCTTTTTATTTGTTGATTGGGGTGTGAATGGCCAGCTATTAAATCATTAACTGTTGTTTCCTTGTGCTGCCAAGTCCTCGGCTCCTAAATAACTGATAAGCTGGTGGTAAATCAGCACTCCTGTTGATTGAGAGTCCATTTTCCAGGCTTCAGTCATTTCCCTGGCTATCTTTTACCTGCTCAGCCAACAATCTTAGTAGCTGCGAAATTGAATGTATATCGTTCATTGCAATGTGAAGCTACCAATGAGTTCGGGTCCCCTCGTCTGATCGCTCTTGTGTTCTTGCAGTCTGGTGGTTAGCTTCCTCCCTGTCTGCCCTACTTAATCACAGGGGCAATCCATGCAAGGGTTCTAGTAGATTATATTAAAAATATCTCCCACCACCAAGCGATCGCATAAATATTATGCATGGAATAAACCAAAGCAAACATTCTGGCAGAGAGAAGTTCCCTGAGGATGAGCTCCAGCACGAGTCTGAAAGCTCATAAGACTAAATCTCTGGTCCTGGTGACCAACTCAGATATTGGATCCTGCAACATTATCCATTTGCCTTCATTCATGAAATAGATATTGTCATTGAAGAGCAATGATCTAAAAACTAGAAAAAACTGTAACATCTTGCATGAATTGAAACCTAGGGAATCAGATATTATTTTCTTTCTAATACCTTTATAGTAAGGTTGCTGTCTTATCACAGTAGCATCCATATGTACATGATCATTTAGAAACTAAGTACTTTTTCACAATAATGGAAAAACACAGGAAGGATGCAGATGAAAGTTCATATCATCTGGAACTCTAATACAATTCTATAAATAAGCAGGATAATTGCCTGATATAAGCCTTGTTTAGAAGTACCATGTCACCAAAAGTAGCACGCAGCAGCTGAAACACACTAGTGAATAAAAAACTCTGAACAAAGAAGAATGTATTCTGGGTAAATATGCATAGATATTGCCAAATGGAAGGGTCTGAAAGAAGTAGCACTGCAACATTTTTATTTTATTTTATTTTTTTTCAAAGATAATTTTTATTAAATTTTTGAGATTTTACAAAAACAAAACAATCTTCCCCCCAACCTCCCCAACCCTCCCATTCCCTCCCCCAACCTTCCCAGAGCTGAATATAGGCTTAATTAAAATTTCATCAAAAAATCTTAAAAAAAATATATAAACCATAAATGAATCTAAATACATTAGTTAGAAATCTAAATACATTAATTAAAAAAATTGTGAAATAATTAACAATAGTATATATATAAAAAAACATGAATACAAAAAATAAATGTTTAGAAAGGAAAAGAATAAAAAAGGGAAAAAAGAAGAACAAAAAAGAAAAAAAAGAAAAAAAACCAAAATATTCAATTTTAAATATAAATTGTTAAAAAACTAAATAATATTTTTTTATATCCAACTTATGTTGTATAAAATCTATCCATTTTTTCCATACCGCAACATACATCTCTTGCGATTGGTCCTTCAAGAAAGCCGAAATCTTTGCCATTTCCGCCAAATAAGAAACTTTAAGAAACCACTCTTGCAAAGTAGGCAAAGATTCCTTCTTCCAACATTGCCCTACTAACAACCTTGCGGCTGTAATTAAATTTAACATC